TTATTCGGATTTTGATAAATCTTTCTGAGGTTTGTCAAGGATTTTTTGAATTATAGAAATATAGTTAGATTGTAGAAATAAATGGAAAAAATTACAAAAAACAACTTATCATTGTTTGACATTTGAAAATATTTGAAGCATTGTTTTTGTGTATGAGATATTGTCTTAAAATCAGTAATAACAATTTTTTTCCAGAAGCAATAAAAATATTGATTATATGTCTACATGATGAATCTTAATATATAACATTCTTCTGTAATAATGTTTGATAGAATACTCCTCCTAAACGATTATTCAGATTTTGATAAATCTGTCTGAAGTTTGTTAAGGAATTTTTTAAGATTTTTTGATTTATAGAAATATAGTTAGATCGTAGAAATAAATGAAAAAAAATGCAAAAAAACGCTTATTGACATTGAAATTGTTTGAGGCATTGTTCGGCAATGAAAACAAATAAAGACCAAATATTTTAATTCGCTTATAAGCTAATAATAAGACAACTTTAAAATATAATATATTTATGATTATGAATAACAAAAAAAAATGTCTACATTACGATTGTCGAAAAGCAGCTGAGATGTGCCAAAAATTAAAATAATATAAGATACATTATATATTTGGTGACTGACAGTGAATATACCCTAAATAATTCAACTTGAAAGATTATTTTTTAACTAATGCAGTCGTGTTTTGCCTCACTTTACTAAACCACAATACAAAAAAATTAAAAGAAAATACAAAAAAAATTTACTTATTCAAAAAATTATTTAGAAGTTTCATTGTGCCAAAAATTCATATGTTTGGCATTGGATACGAAATATTTATTCAAGTCAGTGGAGCGTTTTGGGTCTAAACTTTTTTACCCGTGCTCCAATTTGTATGAATTTTGGAATTAGGTTCATCTTACTCTCAAGTTCAAAAGTGAAAATAATTTAGACTCCTTTGCCACTTCCCGAAGGACAAGATGACAATCCTTCTCAGTGGTGTAATTTTATTTTTTTCAGTATAACATCGGATATCGATAAAAAAACTAATTATAAGAGAAAAATGTTTAATGTTTTTCAAAAAAGCAAATACTTTTCAAGGTACTGGCTACTGAAAATTCGTTTCTTTTTGGCGGTTTGCATCGTTTTTTACAAATATCTCCAAAAAATATATATTTTAAAATAATCGTGTAAAAAAGTTCACAGGTTACACCACCATTTTTCCTTTCCATTTACTGCACTAATTTCGTTGATCTTAGATAGAATAGTGCACATATGAAGTGGATTTAATAAAAGAATTCACTTAAAATATTTATTTAAGTAATAATGTATATAAAATTATTATTAAGAAAAATGTAATTTAGATATTATTATCACTGAAAACAATTAATATGTAGTACAAGATTATAAAATTATGGGCAACATTATTGAAGCAATTATTTTGAGTGAAAAAATCATTGAAATATGATATTGCACCTTTACCGCGGATACTATATATTAATTCTTTCTGAATTCGTTATACTGTTTAAAAGACTGCAATTTCCAATACGTGTATCTTATGCTAGAAATCACAAAGGCAGACGATGAATTTTTGTGTGATAAATTAGAAAAATTAATGTTTTAGTCGTGAATAAACAAAAAAAGTATTTATTTATACATCTACATCTACAGGTATGACTGAAAATATTTGATAACCCTTGGTATTAAAATAAATTGAGTTATTGGAAATAAATTTGTTAAAAAAAATTGCGGTGTATATTTCTAATATACTATTTTATTGAACATATACGTGATGAATTAAAGAAACCATTGAAACCGTGAAAAAAAATATAAACCAAAGTGAGTTTGAGTCACCTATTGTTCTAAGAACGGCGATTTAATAATGTTGATATTTAAGGAGAACTATTTATAAACAATTCCCATTAGCAAATATATATATGTATATATAATATATAATATGTATAATCATTATGTACTGTTATAAAAAAGCACATAAAATTTATGTATATTAGTCATTTTCGATAATTGCTACTTAGAGCTATGCAAATTAATAAATATAAATATTTTGATATTGTTTTTAAGATAACTAAAGGCTTTTATTCATTACAAAACATTTTTCATATAAAGAATTTTGAAAATGTGTATGCATTGATATGATTATATTTTTACATTATGATTTTCTCTGAAACAAGAAGAAAGGAATCTCAAACATCTCAAAAATAAATACACGTGATATCTTACCATACCCTCCCACACCCATGTGATATTTCGTGATTTTTGGTCAAACCCCTTCCCTCCCTCTAAAACCTCATATGATTAATGGATACCCCCTTTCTAAACAACTAGAGAAAAATTAAATAAATAAGTTTATTCAAAAAAACGCAGTTCGAACTCAAGTACAAAAGCATCCTCGGAGATCACCCAATCTCACTTAACAAATAATATCAGGGCCAAATTATAAAAGATTAAAATTTATTTAAATTAATCTCTGTCAACCTTAAATTTCATCAATACAAATAAAATGTCTTTTTGAATCATTCTAATCGGTTGATCCGTGCTCTCGAAATCGTCGACAAAAAATTATATCCGCACATACATACATACACAAACTACACACACATACACATTTCACACAGGGCAAATGGGATTTCGCTCATTTAAAAGATAAATATAAAACAAGGTAAGAATGATAACATTCTAGATCCTCCCCCCTCGAAGTAATGCCTAACGGCGGTTTCCGTGTGGATCAGAGGCAAGGGCAAGCGGAGGTTTTAGTCGAAATTATACCCAGTCGGTTTGAGTCCGACATACCCAGACAAAAGACCTAGCATAAAAAACCACTTTACTCATAGCCTTGCGTTCCTTGAAAGAAGAAGAGCGAATGGCACCAATAAGGGCGAAAGTATTATTACAAGTTGGAATCATAGAATTCTAGAGCCTCCCCCCATGAAGTGATGCAAATATATAAGAATCCAACATATCCAGACAAACACCTAGTCTGGAATGCACGAAGGCATACATTCATTTTTTCCAAGGTATGCCAAAATGTTAAGAAACTTTTGAAACGTAAAGATATATAAAATGTTCATTTTCGAGTTTTTTTTGCGATTACTATAACCTTACCCTATGGAAGTTAATAAAAGGTAATTTTTTTCAGGTATACGCATTTTGCGCCAAAAATTTAACCTGTCCGAAGTAACAAAGGACAAAGAAGTTATTAATATAATTTAAAAGAACATTTCTTATTATTTTTTCCAGGTGATTCTATAAGTAACTTACTTGTATAAAAGTTTGCTTTTAATTAATAATAATAAATCATTTGATCAATAAAAGTTTTTAATATATATGAATCCTGTATAATCAAGAGTACTAAAATAGATGCTAATATTTTAATTAAAATTACTCAATATCAGCCAAAAAAAAAGAAACTAGTGGTGTATGGCATCGTGCCTTAAGGCAAATTGCTGGAACTTTCCGTACCGGAGATGTGCGATTGGTTTTTGGCAAAGGCAGGTCCAGTCGTTACGGAGAAACGGAGCAAATAGTGCAGAAATACATATCGAGCTTTTTGAGAGCACGGGGTATCGGATTTGAATGATTCAAAAAAACATTTTATTTGTTTTGA